AAAGGACGACTGTCCTGTGAAGGAAGATCCTAATAAATTTAAATGTTCAAATTGTGGTGAAAACCACAAATCCAATTTTTGGGAATGTAAGACTCGCAAAACGATCCTACAATCTCGTTCTAACCGTCAGGTAGGAAACGCTCCACGTTTCCGACCAGGTACAAATTCCTCTGCTGTTAACAACGGTCAGCGAGGAACAAATTCTACATTCGTACCCGAAGGTACAAATATCACCTCAGCTTCAAATGTTTCATCTGTACCTACTCCCCTCGCTGTTAACAATGTTCAGCGAGTTAATGGAGCTACCCATGCTGCTATTGCCGCGGGTAGAAATCAAAATACTAACCAACGTAATTCTAACGGAAATTTTGACAATTTTGACTTAGGAAGCATTACTGCCCCTAAAATGGAATTTTTGCAGAAATCATTAATTGACATGATTTCTGATATGCATAAATCTAACCCCATGTTTGATGCTATTCAAACTGGAGTAAAATTTGCTAATAATATTGTCATGACTTTAAAACTCAGTAATGGATTTTAAAGCTTTAAATATTTTAAATTGGAATGCTCGTTCGAGCTATTTAACTTTTTGAGAGTTCATAACGTGCATATTGGCGTTATAACTGAAACGTTCCTTAAACCTGACCATAAGGTTAAGAAGGACGCAAATTATTTGATTTACAGAAATGATCGTCTTGATAGACGAATCAAACATAAAATTCTTTCTTCATTTGAAACCAAAGTTTTTGAAACTTTGGGAGTTTCTATTGAAACAAAATTTGGACAACTTACGTTTATAGCTGCCTATTTGCCATTCCAATGCGTAGGCCAGCAAAAGAATTTTCTCAAGGCTGACCTCCAGAAACTTACCCGTCATAGGTCTAAATTCTTCATTATTGGTGATTTTAATGCAAAACACCGCTCATGGAATAATGCTCAAAGCAATTCCAATGGTAATATTCTGTTTGATGATTGTTCTGCAGGTTATTACACTATTCAATATCCAAACAGCCCAATATGCTTTTCTTCTGCAAGAAATCCCTCAACTATTGATTTGGTCTTAACTGATTCATGTCAACTTTGTAGCCAATTGGTTACCCATGCTGACTTCGGTTCTGATCACCTTCCAGTAACTTTTGAAATATCCCAAGAAATAATTTCTAATCCCAACAGCTCTACTTTCAATTACCATAGGGCTGACTGGGAGCAATATCGAACATTTATGGAATATAACTTCGATCCAAACATTCCTTTGCAAACCAAAGATGAAATTAATTATGCTCTTGAATCTCTGACTACTTCTATAGTTGCAGCAAGAGCTGCCTCAGTTCGAAAATGCGAGGTTAAATTCGATTCAATTATAATAGACGACGATCTTCAGCTCTTGATCCGTCTTAAAAATGTCCGTAGGAGACAATATCAAAGAACACGCGATCCTGCCATGAAAGTTATCTGGCGGGATTTGCAAAAACAAATTAAAAAGCGATTCTCTGCCCTGAGGAACAACACTTTTGAAAATAATGTTTCTAAATTAGACCCGAGTTCCAAACCCTTTTGGAAACCTCAAAAGCCTATTCCAGCGCTTAAAGAAGGTGGTAAAATTTTGATCACAAATTTGGAAAAAGCTCAGAAACTTGCTAAGCAATTCGAGAGTTCCCATAATTTCAGTTTGGGTCTTACTAGTCCTATTGAGAATCAGGTTGCTCGGGATTTTCTGAATATTTTCTCTCGGGAAAATATTTTTGATGATTCCTGGGGGACTGATTTGGACGAAGTAAGGTCTATAACTAAAAAGTTTCAAAATATGAAAGCTCCAGGTGATGATGGAATTTTCTATATCCTCATCAAAAAACTCCCAGCGAGTACCTTGGCTTTCTTGGTAAAATTATTTAACAGATGTTTCCATTTGGCACACTTTCCTGATAAATGGAAAAATGCAAAAGTTGTTCCAATTTTGAAGCCGGATAAAAATCCAGCTGAAGCTTCTAGCTACCGTCCAATAAGTTTGCTTTCTTCAATAAGTAAACTTTTTGAAAAGATAATTTTAAATAGAATGATGCTTCACATCAATACGACTCAATTTTTGCAGATGAGCAGTTTGGATTTCGCCATGGGCATTCAACTACTCATCAACTCTTAAGAGTTACCAATTTAATTCGTTCAAACAAATCTGAAGGCCACTCAACTGGAGTTGCTCTTCTAGACATAGAAAAAGCATTCGATAGTGTTTGGCATGAAGGTTTGATTGCTAAATTGAAAAAGTTTAATTTTTACTTTACATTATGAAATTAGTTCAGAATTATTTAACTGACAGAACTCTGCAGGTAAATTACCAAAATTCCAAATCCAATCGACTACCTGTTAGAGCAGGAGTTCCTCAGGGTAGCATTCTTGGGCCAATATTGAATAAAATTTTCACTTCGGACCTCCCTGATTTGCCTCAGGATTGCCACAAATCTTTGTTCGCTGATGACACAGGCATTTCCGCTAAAGGAAGAAGTCTTCGTGTTATTTGCAGCAGACTGCAGAAAAGTTTAGACATTTTCTCTTCTCATTTACAAAAATGGAAGATTTCTCCCAACGCTTCCAAAACTCAACTTATAATATTTCCACACAAGCCTAGAGCTTCCTTTTTGAAACCTAGTAGGAGTTCCAATTTCCTGGTCAAACCAAGTGAAATATCTTGGATTAATACTTGACCAAAAATTAGCTTTTAAAGATCACATTGAGGGCATTCAAGCCAAATGTAACAAATATATAAAATGTTTGTATCCTCTTATAAACAGGAAATCCAAACTTTGTCCGACGAATAAACTTCTAATATTTAAACAAGTTTTTAGACCGGCCATGCTTTACGCTGTGCCAATATGGTCTAGTTGTTGCACTACCAGGAAAAAAGCACTTCAAAGGATTCAGAACAAAGTTCTGAAAATGATTTTGAAGTTGCCTCCCTGGTACAGTACTAATTTCGAATGTTGAGACTTTAGAACAAATGTCCAACAAAATAATTAATAATTTCAGGCAAAAATCGTTGCAATCCTCAATTGCAACGGTTAATTCCCTTTATACTTAGATAAGATTTAGTTTTAGTTTTTAGTTTTAAGATATCAATTGTTATACTGACATGCAGGTTTAAAAAACCTGTTTAAAATACTGAATTGCCAAGACAGGAACAATGTAAAAATACTTAGATATATATCATAACAATTAAGGCTGGTAAGTTACTGTAGTAACTGGAGCACCTAGGTTAAAATGAAATGTAATTTATTTTGAATTTGAAACAAATAAAGAGTTGAAAAAAAAATAAAAAATCGAACTAGGATGGGGGCAAGAAGACCATACGGGGCGAGATGGGCCACCGTTCGTTTGGGCATAATGCTTCTAATATGCATCTCCATGAAAACCGTATCAAAATTCAATTACATGTCGAAGATAATAATGGAAATGTAACATTAGCTCAAAATCTCTAGAATATTATAAGATATGCAGTCAAGAAAACAAGCATTGCATTCACTATATTACATTTTACTGATCCGCTGGTTCTACAGCGAGAAATATACCTAACTGTTGCTAAAAGAACTTATTTTTCTATTTCACATGATTCCTGAATGTTATTTTCTAGTGAAAACCTGTCAAAACGCAAACTTTTACAAGGGTGCTCATATTGCCCCGTATGGTTGTTGATCGGAGCAAAAACTGAAATTTTTCAAACATAATAGTCTATCATATTTTATCCATATTTTGAACATTGTATATTCTCAAACATATTCCAAAGCATGAGCATGATCACAGCTATCATACATTTATAGATGTTTTTCATGTGTTATGATGTGTTTTTCTTAGGTGGACCATATTATCCCTATCTACCCAATGAATTTATGTATGGGCCCAAATTAGGGGCATTTACATCCATTTCCTCTATCGCATATTTTTTCGGCATAGCACTACGACACACACAAACTCATCACAGTAAACAAAATCCCTGCACCGCTTATTTCGATCACTTCCAGAATGGATAGGAAAAAGAGAAGCATAGTGAACAGGTGGGGCAGGGTTCGAAACAAATTAATTGGTCATTAATTATTGCAATGGTGTCATTGAACATACTACCAATTAATTTGTTTCGAACCATGAGAGGTTTGGGACTGCAGTACGAGATGCTCCTTCACTATGCTCCTCTTACCCTGAAGACCTCATTAAACTGTATAAAACAACTATACTTTCAGTTCTTGAGTATGGATCTGTTTGTTGTTTACGTAATGCCCTTGGCTCACACTAAGATTTTGTTTTCGTGTTCGGTAATTTTTTACCGAAATCATAACAACTGAACGTTCGGTAAAACTTTGACCTTCATTTTAAAGTCCACTGAATTAAAAAATTTCAAAACATGTTCAACCTTGTTTATTTAAATGATCAAATCTTGTCATTTTGGTGGAGATTTAGTTTCAAAATAACTGAAAAGCAATTGAATTGAATTGCCTTAATTTTACCGAACAGTTCAGCTGTTTAGATTTCGGTAAAAATTAACGAACTCGGCGATAATTTCTAACTGTGGTGTATGCATTCAACACACAATATACTATATACTTAAGTTGCAGATTCCAAAAGATGCGAATGATAGAATTATGAATTTCTTCTCAACACAATTATTATTGGCCAAAATGTACGCATTACACCACTGTGGGGGTGGAGTAAAATCGATATTACCACCCCACCTAACACTGATGGAAAAATATTAAAGAAATGTGCACTGCTGAATCGAACTTCACCCCACCGGGGGACAAAACTTTATTTTGAACTCTTTTCAGATAAGTTGTTCTAGTTAGTTTGAGCTATTTGAATATTTCCACTAAGGTCGAACGTTTGCCTCCCCTTACAACAAATTAGTCATAATCACCATCATCATCATCATCATCATCATCATCATCATCATCGGCAGCAGTAATTATCGATTAAGGTACTAGGTCCTGTTGGGTAGTAAGGAGTGGAAAACTCACCTCCATCGAACGCGTTCGGATTAATGAAGCTGATGAGATCGTTGTCCGACATGTTGGTCAGTTCTTGCGGTATATTGGCAGCAGTTGTCACCGTAGTCTGTTGTTGCTTCTGCTGCGTTTGTTGTTGTGATGAAAGCTGTGCAACTTGCTGCTGTTGTTGATGTTGTTGTTGTTGTTGTTGTTGTTGTTGCTGTTGTTGTTGCTGTTGTTGTTGCTGTTGTTGTTGTTGTTGTTGCTGTTGTTGTTGCTGTTGTTGTTGTTGTTGTTGTTGCTGTTGTTGTTGTTGTTGTTGCTGTTGTTGTTGTTGTTGTTGTTGTTGTTGTTGTTGTTGTTGTTGTTGTTGTTGCTGCTGGGCAATAACAGTTGGAATTATCGGTGGGGATTGTTGTTGTCGTTGTTGTTGCAGCATCAGGTTGGTGGGAAGAATTGGACCCGTTGTGTCCATGGGTTGTTGAGGTGGTTGTACTGTTAGCGGTATGATTGCATTGCCTATATCCATTTGTTCTGGAAGGGGTTGTTGTTGTTGCTGCTGCTGTTGCTGTTGCTGCTGCTGTTGTTGTTGTTGTTGCTGCTGCTGTTGATGCTGTTGTTGTAGTTGTTGCTGATGTTGATGTTGTTGTAGTTGCTGATGTTGTTGTTGTTGTAGTTGCTGTTGTTGTTGTTGCTGTTGTTGTTGCAGTTGTTGCTGCTGATGTTGTTGTTGTTGCTGCTGCTGCTGCTGGGCCACGGCTAAGTTCACCAGTAGAGATTCGGTTGCTTGTTGTTGCTGTTGCTGCAGTTGGGTTTGATGTTGAATGTTTTCTGTTATGAGGGTTTGTACAAGTTGTTGCTGTTGTTGGTGTTGTTGCTGTTGTTGTAAGGCGCTTTCCATAGAATCTGAAACCATGGGTGTCGGTTGGCACTGAGGTAGAATGTTGTGTTGGGAATTCATTATATGAGTCTGTGGTTGACAGGAGGTAGTCATCATTTCCTGTGCGTTCATCGTGATCAAAGCATTGATCGTCGTCTGAGTGGTGACCGAGGGTTCTTGAGAGGTTAGAATTTCGGCAGCCGCATTGAGGATAATGTCCTGCACAGCTTGAGTGGTTTCCTTGGGTTGGGATTCGATTATGTTAGCAGCGACAACAGCCATGTTGTTCAGCACTTGGTTCGTCAGCAAATGTTTGCCTTCGGAGACAGCCGCGGCCGCAGCAACAGCGGCGGCTGCCGTAGCGGCTACTGTTGCATTTGACGGTGAGCAGATCATCGACGAAGGCGATACCGTTGGATTTAGAATGAGTTCCGGTGAAATGGAAGCATGCGGATGCGGACTTACGTCATTGGGTGAGGGAGTTGTTGCGAGAACGAGATTCGCTGGAGAGTTAACTGACAATGGGGTTTGTGAGTTCAGCATCACATCCTGAGATAGGGGTGATCGGTTAGCAGGAACGCTGTTGCCTGTGATATCACTGTGCAACATTGATGTTGCGGTTGCTACTGGAGAGTGCACAGATGTATTGCTGCTGGGGAGTGACATTACTGATCCCAGATCCATCATGGCTGTCGAAGCCTGTTGACTATTGACAATGCTGGCCAAGGTTGATTCTATCACCTGTGTGCCCGTCTGTTGAACAGCGCTACCTATCATATCTTCTACTTTATATTGGGATTTAATTTGATCTACCTGGTTTAGAGTGTCTATCGGGGCACTGGATGTGGTTATCATACGTTCGATTTGATTCCTCGCGGAAGAAAGGTGGTTGGTTTCATGTTTAATGCACAGGTCCATCACCTTCAGTTCGGAAGCCGGGGACGTCGATGAGTTGCTCATCTCGTTCGTTTCCATCAGTGTGCTAAGCCCACCCCGGAAACCAACTATCGCGCTAGACACGGACCCAACGTCCATTGCACTATTTTCGGCTACCAGCATGGACATACTGGAACTATCTTCCATAAGATCCATGCTTGGTTGCCGAACGCTACGCCTTCGATACATGATTTGGCTATTATCGATTGAGTTGTCGGTCGATTCGGGAAATCGCTCCAGTGAATCATCATTTCCCGGACTTCGACTGCTCTCGTCTATAAGCTCGGTTTTGAAACTCGGCGGAGATGACATGGCAAGCTGTTCGCCCACAAGTGAAGGCCTTCGACCTGTACTCACGGCCGTCATGGCCGGAAGCTGCAAGACGTGTACCGGCGGTGGCATCATACCCGTATCTAGCTTATCCTGAACGGCCTGCGCCACCTGTTGGGATCCCCAGAAGAGCAGTGATTTCCGCACGGCCGAAACATCGCCCAATGATGTGATAGAATCTAAAGAGAAGAGAGATAGAGAAAAGACAGAACAAGAAAAAAACAGAAAAAGAAGAAGAAAAGACAATGTGTTACTTTCGATAGCCGACGGTATGTACTTAAACCTAGATTGTGATTGTTTATGAATTAAAACATATGCTTATACGTAGTAGCTAGCAAAAAGCGTGGGCTGAAAAGATATCCAGCAGAGAATGAACAATTGGCTCAAGGTGTTTGTGTTCCTATTTGGATGGAAATCCTTTGATCCGCTTCGCGCGCTCCCGTTAGACATCGAATAAGAGAACCAAAACAGTAACCAGTAGTGTGCAGACCGCTCATACAGAGATCATTCGTTTCCAAATCAAAATCACGTACTTGCAACCACCACCTGAATGAATAACCGATAACGAGCGCGGCTAGTAACAACAGATATTTTAAATTCTACTGCGACGTTCCCTAATAAAAATAACCATAAAAGAGGGTTTAATGACGTGTTTGGGGTATCATCCAAACCGTTTGTGGGATAGTTTACCCATCCGGGATATAATTCGTTTATGGTATTTGTTTATTAGGGTTATCACTGCTTCTAGGTATATGTCGGATACATGCATCGGAAGAGCAAACAAAGAACTGTAACGTCTCTCAAAAAGAAAAGAAATACATTTCCAAACTCAACCACTAACGGGGGGAAAACATTAGAATCACTCAACTCGCGAGCGTTGGCACCGTTTCTACTGACAACGACAGGCACATTCACACTCACACTCTGGTAAATGAATTTAGGTCATCGAAAATTTCGAAACTCATAGGTTTTTGTGTGTCCTGATTGGTTGACATTTTACGAAGCGGGAGCCGCGGGAGACGGATCCAGGATTCAAGAGACGGGATAGTTTCGATATGGTTGGTGTTCGCCCAGTCATATGTTCAGTGAATCTGCGAGGGAATATTTAGAAGAACATTCATATAGATCTCGGATGCTAGATGTACAGATGGCAGCACGTTAGGTTCGACTGTGCGTTGCACGTTTCATTATCGTAGGTCCAAGGCAGAGCCCGTTAGTTGATGTTGTCGTCGATTTTTTCCTATAAACATACGAACCTCGTTCCGTTGCCCCGATAGAGTGAGTGAAAGAGTGTGCTGTGTGCAAGAGAATGACTGAAGGGGGAAGCTCCGTTCTAGGTCCTCTCGGATCTTCGGATCGGTTGTGGAAGGATGAAACCATGGATATTTTCGGTGGGTAGGTGGGAACGCAGTGTGCGCAGGAGGGCGTGGTTACCGGTAATGCAAAGGAAAAGGGAGGTGAATTAAAAGGAAGAGCTGGTCGGAGTTGTGCTGGAATAGGAGGGACGACCTCACTCACTCTAGAAGGGCTATGGAAAGAGATTCGGGTATGAAAGTAACGAAACACAAGAATCGGTATATGTGGAAATATAGCAATTAATGGTTGGCATGTTATATCAGTATCAGTACCCTTGGTGAGTGACCGCCCGGATTGAGAGTAGAGGCGCGCTGAGCAGCAGATGCGGATACGGGCGTGTGTGTGCGTGCGGGCATGGTGGTATTCAGCGGCGACAGCGGCAGCAACGGCAGCAGTTGGAGCATCAGGCTGGAGAGGGACTCCTCGGGGTTGTGCATTCGGATGTGGTGTGATGACAGTATGGTACTGGTAGTATCGAATCGGCCTCGTTTGGGACCGAATCGGACAAGTGGCGACGCGGTGGAGGCGCAGTGAGAATCTAGGTTAATATTTGCTTTATTCGTTCTTGATTGCTGTGTACGTACAAGACAAGAGAAACAAGACATCAGGTGAAGATTAGTTTCTCAAACTATCATATGGTCCGCTGGAGCCAGACGGTAAACTATCTAAATCTGGATTTCATGGTCCAGTTTAATTTGTTATTTTTTTTTATTTAGTTTGTTTTTGTCTTGTCCAAGGGTACTCGACGTACCGTGCACTCACATTCGGAAAGGGGCCACGAACGGCGAGATTCACACACGAGCGATAATTTCGGAATTGTGGGAGAGGAACGCACAGTCACAACCTAGATAGAGCTAAGAGGAGAGGGGAAAGAAAAATGGTGGATTTCAAATGATTGCGTAATACTCTGGCCACGAGGTGGGATTCATATTTTGGGAGATAACGTTCGGAGCTGGGTGTCATGTAAAATGAATAAACTCTGCCACTAACATAAGAGTAGAAGCCAAAAAGTTTCGCTAGTTCTAAGCCACATCTGACATAAATGTCGGTTCCATAAATCAAGCCGGGATTTGGTGTGATAAGAAATGTCTTCCCCAGTGGAGCAAACCCCCATGGGGTATGTTGCTTGTCCTTCTGCTATACTCGCCACATGTTGCTCTAGCGTATCCAAATTTGTATTCGTCAGCATTGATCGTAGCATATCAACTGGTGACGTTATATGGTTTCAGCAGTGTAGAGGGATGAGGTTTCATCAGAGAAGAGAAATGCACATAAGACCAGGGTTGCTGCCATGCATTTGCTATACAAACATGTTTTTAGGAATTATGAAACCATTAGATGGGTATAATGGAATTTTGAACTTGTAAGTTACAAGAAGAGGTGGTAAAGTATGTGTTTGACATATAAAATCAGTCAATTTCACATTCAGAGAGTCATAATCAGCGATTTTATGATCGATGATTGTTCACTCTTCATGATGAGTGAACATTCACTGAGCATACAATTGTGACTCTCTGCACGCGACATTACACAAACTTTACAGCCTCTTCAAACATGATTTTGCCCATCATCTTAACAAAATTCAAACATTTACTATAAATTTCAGGCGTGATCTCTTTCCTAGGCCAAACGCTCGCGTTATAATAGGGTGCCGGGCACTAATTCGTCATACTACAGTTCGCTTAAATTCCAGCTCCATTAAAATAGAATTACATCGCTCGTAATTTTACTCATGTGGAAAGAATTTGATGCGTAAATATTTCATTGGTACCGTAAAGTGCTATAATTCGGTGCAGCGGTTTTTGCTAAAATGTTACAGTACATTGTAATTTTTTTTTTCAAACTGCATATTTTTCCCATACACAAGTGAATAACGCCTATTCACATTTCTACAATTTATAATTATTTTGGAATTTTTAAAACAACGCAGGATTTGGCCTAAGATGCGGCAGAATTATGGCACTCTACGGTAAAACTCTTCACGTTTTTCACTGGCCAACATTTCTCAACCGTACAACTTAATTCCAATGCACTTAAAAGAAAGTAACTATTCGATGATGCTCCGTGTAAGTTTACATTCCAATTTATATTAAAATCAATTAAAAATTAGCTGCAACTGATTCGATGAATAATTTCTCACATGCGAAATTATCGAACACTGGCAGACATCCCCACGCTGTGATTTTCAAAACTATGCGCAAAGCAGCTTCCAGCTAAATCAACTACTAACCTTCGATTTAGAATTCCACCAAAGTTACAAAGTTACTATACACTGAACACTTTCACACCTTTGCTCTCCAGTCGATAGCTAGTCTACTGAGCGAGTTCAAAATATTACTGTGCAGGCATCATTTGAGGTAGAGCACGATCTGATCACGTGATCAGATTCTCCTTCATCCCAGAGCCTTCGGCTGTAGAGTGGAAAATTCCGTTTGCAAAATCCATTATGGGCGATGTTTTAAGCCTGGATTTGCGACTTGGCTACTAGCGGTTTGTATCCTGACTGTAATAGGAATTTTGCACTCTCATCAAAAGCGTGTGCCCATTCCAGGTGGAATTTTGTTAATCCAATGCTGGTGTGCTCTGAAAGGAAATTTTTTAGTACCGACGCTTCGAATAAATTAAAAAAAATCACTGTTCAATAATGCACTTTTTGACACCACTTTACTGCCTATAATCGCATATCAGTCCCATATGGAAAAAAATTGGCATAGAGAAGCACTGGCAGCAGAAGTTATGAACTGCAATTTCCATGTAAATATTGACGATGTTTAGTAACATTTCCGCCCCGGCGGCTACCGTAGAGTCCTACCGCCAGTAGTAAAATGAGCTTAAAAAAATACTGGATAAAAAAAAACATAGTGTGCATTGACAAATTTGAAGTATATTTACTGGCGATTCTTTGAAGCCTTGTTCATTTGACAGCTGTGGTGGAACTTCTTCTTTTTGCAATTAATCCGTTTGAAAAATCATAGTAAATTTATTGAAATTTTTTTCAAATTAAAATCAGTTGCGTTGAAGCTAGTATGTTTTGTTATATCAGTGAAAAATATAACAACTCAAAACAGAACTGTAACTTGACCTCTGGACGATTGCAATTCAGGATGGGACTGATATGCGATTACTTTGGTTGATGGGACAAACTGACTTGTTTTTACATTTTATCCTGATCAAAGCTATAGACTAGCGCTGCCCAATGTGCGGCCTGCGGGGCCGGACGTGGTATCTGGATGTCAGCAATGATTTTATTCTAGTCCAATTTTATTCATCATTATGAATTTTTGCTCATAATGAATGAGCATTAAACAAAATGCAGCTAGAAAAATGTGCATCGAAAATATACTAGATACAGCCATTTAAAAAAACAAGTTTAGAAATGTTGGGCAGCCCTATAGTCAGTCATAGACATGCGGATGCAAAATCCATAGAATTTGACCATAAACACTTGAAGAAGCTTAATCGCATCGTAACTCAATGGGAAAATCAAAGCAAACCGATTTCGAAGGCAAGCTTTTTTGTTGCTTGTCACTTGTCGGTCGATTTTCTCGCGTTTCCGTCGCTCGTGCTTTTTTCCACACTGTGAAAATTGATCACAAAGCAAGTTCCAAAACGTGGCATTTTTTCGATTTTCAGTTCATAAATCCTATCACGAGCTGTGGCTTGGATTTTGTGGATTAACTGCTGGTTTCAGGTTTCCTGATAGTCACCGTTTGTTGGTTTTATCTTGGGTTTTTATTGATAAAATGTCAAAGATTGTGCTGTATATTAAGTAACAATTTGTAAGTATTTTATTCATTACTGGGAAGAGAGTCCCAACCCCTTT